CATTTACAGACCTCCTTCAAAATAAAATTATTATTCGTTTCCGCTTTGGGTTTACGATACGAGGTAAAGAACGTAACACTCGGTACCACTCTTGCTGCTTTGCCGTTTTCTACCTCACATTTTGTTTCATGTAGAATATCACCGTCTTAACGTCTTGTATTGTAGAGAGCTTTACACAGACGGGGTGGTCGTGTGATTAAGAGTGTCTAGGTGTTTCTTGCGGTCTAGTATTGTAGAGAGCTTTACATAGACAGCACGAGATTCCCTAGCCTCCTTCAAAAACTCAAATATTATTGCCACGCTAATGGTGCATTTATGAGGTAAAAGCGCGTCTGAGAGCAATTGAGAATTTAGCTTGACGGATGGATTCTTATGGTCGCCATTTTTGTTTGTGTGACGTCATTAGTAGGTGTCACATGCGCGCGCGCACACACACACACACACACACACGTACATGCACGAACACGTACTAAATGACCATTACCCTTATTTGTGACGGTTGAATGACCATATGACGTCAATACCGTCGTTGTAGGTCGTGACGTCAGTGTGGCAGTATATTTTCGAGGTTGCGTCACCATCAAGTGACGTCACTACCTTCGTTTGTAGATCGTGACGTCACGAGACCTATCGTCGTGTTGTCATACATGTATGACGTCAGTGTGGCAGTATATTTTCGAGGTTGCGTCACCATCAAGTGACGTCACTACCTTCGTTTGTAGGTCGTGACGTCACGAGACCTATCGTCGTGACGTCATACGTGTATGACGTCAGTGTAGCAGCATATTTTCGAGGTTGCGTCACGTTATGTCACCTCGGAAATGTGCTGCTACCATACTACTCAGATATGGGCTTCACACATTGTACCCAAGTCTTCGGCGTGACGAGCTAAAGCTTTAACCACTAGGCTACCCCACCACCCCAGTAAAATGAGAGAAATACGGAGAAAATAAGTGAAATGACGAAACCTTAACGACAAACAAACCAATGTTTAATGTGAAGAAACTCGAGTTTAAAATATATACAAATAGATAAAATAAAGACAAATCCCAGGGTATGCTAAAAGTGGCACCTTTTGGCTTTGATAAAAATTAGTTTAAAAAATCGAAATGGGGTTGAGTTCCGCGTTATTTAAAAAAAATGAAATGTCTACATCTGTATTTGTTTTCTCGGTGCTTTGATTGTTTTCTCCTAATTTCGATTAGTATTTGTTATTTCGAGTTTGTATCAAACAATGCATTAGAATTAAAGTTAGATGCAAGGGGCAGATGGATGTACATACTCGTAATGGTTGTGGTGAATGCTGAACACGCCCTTTAAGAAGTGAGCAGCGGGCATTCTGAATTTTATCTTTTCATCCCAACAGTTGACGTAGCCAATTGTGCCACAGTGCACCAAATGTTTACCTGAAACAGACAGGTTACAACACGTATTTAAATACAATAGGTATATATCACATCTATGTCTGTTTTTCAAACCCAAATATGACCCTGTCTCAAATAATTAACACCTATGTAAATACAGTAAGTACTTGAAATCTATATCTGATATTTAATTCCCAAACATGCATCAGTCTTGTCGATCCGTGACGATCCGGCTTAGAATTGATCTTCAGTAGCCATGCGTGTCATAAAAGGTGACTTGGTTGACACATGCGTATGTCACTGGATTGTCTGGTCCAGTCCCGATTATGTACAGATCACAGTCATGCAGTTTGAATATTGCTGACTGCGGCGTTAAACAGCAAACCATCCAAATCAAACCAATACTCAATACGGAATCAATAACTGCTTTCAGTAAATATTGTTTTGGTAATGCCTTTGTCATATCTATCACCTACCACATATAACCTGATAAGGAAATGAGTGTCAGTAAATATTCTTTGTTAATGCCTTTGTCATCTCTATCACCTGCCACATATAACCTGATAAGGAAATGAGTGTCAGTAAATATTCTTTGTTAATGCCTTTGTCATCTCTATCACCTGCCACATATAACCTGATAAGGAAATGAGTGGTGTCCTCCCATTTGTGAGAACTCCAAGTTGTGAGACACATTAATTAATGGTTCAGTGCACACATGTGGTGCTTCCCCATCCCTACGATGAAAGTGGGAACAGCCCTGTTGCTGAAGAGTACCCGCAGGAGGCATAGTTCATTAATGAGCATTAAAGAGCATTTATTGTTTTCAATAAAGAACAATGTTAAATACTGAAATACTGAAAAAGATTATCATTATATTTACACAGAAGAAATAGTTCATTAAAGATTTCATTATGATTTTTGATTCGCACATTTTGATGATTTGCGTTATTATGATGTTTGTGTGTCATTATAAAACACTTTTTTACATGGGTCCATATTTGGAGATTTTGACACTTTTCATATTGATCACGAAGTTGCCTACACAAAGTGTAGGTTTTTTTAAAGCCATTTACCTGAGTAGGTTAATTACTTTATCTTTTTAGCTACCTCCACAAGATTCATTTAAATATCTAATCCCTAATTAGCTAGGGTTAATCCATTCTATCATATAGGGGAGTAAGGTGTATTTTCTTTGCTACTTACCTACTCCACTGTCTCACAACTGGGCGTCTCACATGGGAGTTCTCACAAATGGGAGTAGACCAAATGAGTGAAACCAACTGAATACACATTCTATACGCTGATCGTTAAGGTCAATCTATACATTCTCAAGACGTTTAGGGCCTCAGGTTTTATTAAAAATCAAAACTGTGTTACTAAGAATAGTTTACTGAGCCCACGAGCCTCAGAGAAGACCTTACAAGTCAATCTGACGAGAGTATTGCTGCTTCAGACCAATACTCAGAGATTCATCCGAAACCTGGGAATCGTTCACTGTGCGCGGCTCGATCAAGGAGGACATTCAGAACAACATCGTCACCAACTCGAATTGTGACCAAGGCGTTTGTTGTTCGACATGTTTAAAAGAGACTGTGCTATGCAGAGGGTATATTAGCCAGTAACAAAGCTTAATATCATACGGCACAAAATACTCTGACATTTGCACAGCGCCAGACATATTAATTTCGATGCAACCTTCTAAATAATTGTCTGTGGCTTCGAATGTCATTTGTATTTAATTCGTTAATATACGTCAATGTTAACACAAGCTACAAAAATAAATAATGTCAGCAATAAATCTAAAACATTCTTCCTGGTCGTATTTGTGAGAGCCAATGTGAAAGAAATGTTAAAGCTACGCAAAGCTGTTATTATTTTCCTACTCTTTTTCACAGTATTGCAACCAGGATGTATTTAAAAGTTAGATATTCTTTCCATCAAATCGCTGCAGAGTTACATAAGGCTTAGTGGGTGGAATAAGATGAGACCGATCACAACGTACACAACGTACAACTAAACTCACTCACTCACTCACTCATTCTTGTCGACATCTCCGTGACATGAAAGTCACTGGTGAAGATGGAAGTGATTTGCTCTGCAATAATCACATTTACCGATTCATAACGAAACGGAACCAGATCAGTGGATAGTATGAACTGTTTAATAGATTTTACGGAAATAAGATAACGAAATTAAGAACATTTTAAATGATATCATGTTTTTGCTTGAAAGACGTGACCTTGACTTACCTTTCAAGGAGCAACAGTAGAACTTAAACCGCCGGTCTTCGTGATGGTTGCTATGGTAGCTGTTGACGCCGCTAATGACGCCATTGTTGGGGCATTGGAATGATATTGGTTTGTCAAATTGGTTCACATAGCCTGAAAGAGAGATTTATCAGTTTATGCCGAATTTAAATAAACATAGTTCCTAACTCTTTGGGACCTATTCCAAATAAAATAATCAGAAATACAATTCTTCAATGTTCTACTTTACAATATCATTCCGCATTGGATGTACCATACACTTAGTTTAACGACTGGATAGGGTGTCTGTCAAAGAGCAGAAAGTCACTTCTTCCATCCCCGATGGTGTCATTACAAAAGAGGTTAAAAGACAGTACTTGTTGTTTCCCTGCCTGGCGATTTGCATTAAGAGGATAAAACAAGGCCTCGGCTCTGAGCCAGTATATTGTGTCTGTGTGAAGTATCAATGTTGAACTGTGGCATGGTATATCAAGGGACCAAATCTATTACACGGGCATTACTCCGAACAAGCAAAAGCAAATTTCACCTCCACTTGCAGTATTTCCAGCCCCCTTTTGCATTCTTACACCTACGATATTCAATACCAGAATGAAATTATGACGAACATAACCGTTACTTTTTTTACAGGCAGTGTAAATCGAAAGAAAAATCACTTTGTTGTTTGCTTTCAGCAGTGTTTAAATCGCAATGTCGGAACATTAATACAGAACACCATAAATTGAACACACGTAAAAGCATCTTATTAAACATTTATGTTTCTAGAGATCAGAAAATACACGGACACTAGAAAAAAGGGGATGTATGAAGGTCGGAAGTCATTAGTCATGACGGTCGTGGTACTGTTACTACTTGTAATTTTGAAATCGAGGGCCCTGCAAAGCCTGCCCCTGCCAGACTTTTAACAATCCCCATTTCAATCTCTCTATGTGAATACTGAGCAATAAGGTTCTCTTACTATTGCCAAAGTGTCATTCCCGTGTGCATGGTTCCCCCGTCTTATGTTAACAATAAAGGCGCTTTGTGGATGTCACTCCAGAGATAAGAAAATGCAAGGACCTTAGAGAAACAGTGATATATGAAGGTCAGAAGGCCGTGCAGATCCTTGTACTGTTCCTATGTGTAATTTTGAAATTGTTGCTCCTCCCCTGCCTGACTTTCCCTAATCCCCCTTTCAATCTCTCTATGTGAACGCTGAGCAATATGGTTCCCTTACTGATGCAACAAAAGTGTTATTTCTGTGTGCATGGTCCCCATCTTATGTTAACATTCAAGACGCTTTGTTGAGGTCACTTACCAGACCACTGACATTTCCCAAGTTCAGGTGTCTTCTGACAGGTGAACCTATGGCGCCTGTCTTCGTGGTGGTTGCTGTGATAGCTTTCCCAAGAAGCGATGGAATTCCCTCGAGGACATTGGTACAGCACAGGCTTGTCAAAGTCGTTGACGTATGACGTCACGACAGGGGTAAGCGAAAGCAGAAGCAATGTAATCTGAAAGCAGTAAAGTAACGTAAGTTGGGAGCCGTGAAACAAACAAAAAATGGAATTCGTAAAAACAAAATTCCCCACTTCCTGATAGCAATAACCTCATTCGAGACCAACTCGTGTTATTCCGGGACAATCCGAATAGCGACTCGTGCCTCTCTGGAAGGATTTCATATTGCGCATGAACATCAGAACTACTTTAAATAAGAACGATAACTCTATTCCTGTTTGATGCCAGTGTTGCTTAATATCACCAAAGTACTCGTACATTGTATTGCTGTTTTTGGTTTTTACTTATTTATTTTAAAGAACTGAACCTTTTTGATACAAGTAAATGCAGGAGAAAAACATATTTGTTAAAGACATATTCTAATGTAATTATAGTATGACCAGAAATTATTGAGAATTTTAGGAATATGTTTAATTGGATTTCTAGTATAAACAACCTTGACCAGCTATCAAGTGCTTGGTTTCATTCAAGAGAGACAACTCCGTTTATCCCTTTTCATTAGTTTGTGAAGAGTTATCCCCCTTTGTTTACTTGCTAGCAGAGGACATTTTCAGTGACCCTCAGTATGGATGATTTAGAGAAGAGGAAGTTGATTTTAGAATATTATAACAAGGACATCAGATCAGCTAAAGTGATTTCAAGTAGAACAGGCATCCCTTTGTTCACTGTTTATCGTGTTTTGAAAAATATTGCAAAACGGATATGGCATTGAGCACCAGGGAGGCGCAGGTAGGCCCAGAAAATTGACTGTCGGTGACAGGAGGCGGCTTGGTATTCTTGTTTCTAAAAAACAAACGAAGGAGTTTAGAAAACTTACGGCTGGATATGATTAATAGAGGAACTGTGGGTGTCTGTAAGGAGACAATTAGAACTGAACTGCACGCAATTGGTTGGCAGCAAAGGCGAGGAATTCCATCACCGATCATGAAACCTGAACAAAAGGTTGAACTGGTGCTTACAGCATAGAAATTTTAACTGGGACAATGTGATTTTCTCAGATGAAAGTTCTGTGTGTCTGTTTTCCTAATACACTGAAATTCTGGACCAAACACACTGAAAAACCTTTGTATCAGCGCCTAAAGTACAGTCTGAAATTTAACGTGTGGGGTGGCATATCTGTGTTAGGGGCAACGCCCCTGTGTGTTTTTGATGGGAATATGAACAGTGAGCGGTACACAGGTATTCTCGAGGGACATTTACTTCCATCTGCTCATGTGTTCTATGGAAATTTTTGGATTTTCCAGCAACGACCCAAAACATGGTTCAAAGCATTCACTGGCCTAGTTTCTAAAATCCAATAGAATATGTTTGGGGACTTATGAAGGAAAGAGTCGATAAGAAACATCTGACAAATATTGCTGAAATGAAAGAAGAGGTGGTCCGATATTGGGACAGCATGGACCACGACTTTCTAACATCAGTAGTATGCCCTGTCACCGTTAAACGCATGTACTTTTCTAACATCTACATGAGGCAACACAGTTCTGTTAGCTGCGTTCTTTGTGCTTTCAATATGACGATATATATTTTTCATGATTTTTTTAAACAAACACATAATGGCATAACTGATTTAAGTACTGGGGATTATTTTTATAAGTGTCGGCCCTGGAAAGCGAAATTTCAATATTCCCTATTCCCGGTGAAGCGAATTGCTATGAAAACATCGGATTCCGTACTTCGGATTAGCGCGCGGTTGAGAGCCTCTTAACTTAGATGAAGTTTCCTGTTACCTGGGTAAGCTGAGTGGAAGTTACATAACTGAATGGAAGTTGTTTTTTATAAATACAATAAATGAATAAGTCGGGGTTTTTCATATGTCTAACGAAGATCAAACAATTAAGATAATTAAACATTAAATATTTTAACTGAGATGAACTGAGATTGAAATGCCCTATGTAAAGAGCTCACTGTATTTTTCTGTATCAAAATGGCAAATGCACAGGTCAGAGTTACGTTTATTGACACACTGAGAGGGGGCCAGCACTTACCCAGAATGACATCCTTCAAGTGGTCTTGCAGGTAATATTATCATGAAAATAACACCATGAATTATTTTAATATTAAGTGTATATCCGATTTGATTAAAATTGTTTGACTTAAATTCGTTTGTTGTTTGGCTTATTTGACTATTTTATGTAATAACAGTTGCACCACACCCACCAACCCGTGCAATTCGAGATGGAAGTGGAGGCCTTCAAGTCCACGCTAATCCACCGTGCAAAGACGGAGACAACACCGATTCTAACCAACTACAGAGAGAGAGAGAAAAGAGAAAATATTTTTTTATGTGTCAAATGTTATATATAAACTGACTGACTGAGTATGGTTTTACGCCGCTTTTAGCAATATTCCAGCAACATCATGGCGGGGGACACCAGAAATGGGCTTCACACATTGTACCCATGTGGGAATTCGAACCAGTGTCTTCGGCGTGACGAGCCAACGCTTTAACCACTAGGCTACCCCACCGCCCCTGGTATATATAAAACACACATAGACTTTAAAACATTCAATAAAATATAACATCCGGCCATGTGGCCTATGAGACACAAGGCACTATATTATGTCTAAAACAGATAGTAGTAAATAAAATATCACAGCTTTGTAAGCAACAATGGAGTGTGGTATATTTATGTAATTACATGACTACAAACTGCGTTAGCGTATGGTTACGGAGAAGAAAGAGTGTTATTATTTGTGTGTAACATATTATACCTTAAGACACTTAATATACAATATAACATTTGGCCTATGAGACACAAGCCACTACATTCTACCTAAAACAGATAGTAGTGAATAGAATATCACAATTGTATAAGCAACAGTGAGGTGTGGTATATTTAATTACATGACTACAAAGTGCGTTTACGTCTATTAAACATTTTAGTAACTAATGCAGCTAAGGGTGTGTTTTTTTTAATTTAACATTACCCAGCATATATGCGGCCTGGTCAGAAGGTGGCAAGAGATAAATAAAAGGGTTAATATTTGAATACATTTTCCCACAAGTCATATCGTAAATCCGAATATAGTGGACAGCTGACAAAAAAGTGAACTTCGTCCTCAATCGTATTGCCATCACAACATTTTCAAATTTCAAAACTGGCAAGAAAAATTATCTATTTCAAGCAAATGTGACACTTACCTAATGTTTAAAAACAATATCCATACCGAATTCTATCTATCATGTTTAAATGTAAAAAAGTATAGAGTTAGTTTAACACGATTCCGATGCTCATCTCATGAACTTCTAATCGAGAAAGGTAGATATGTAAATATGGATAGAGAACACAGAACTTGTAAATTATGTAATACAAATGCAATTGAAGACGAATATCATTTTCTTCTTGTATGCCCTAACTACTGTAGTCTTCGAAGCAAATATATAAGATAAAAATATTAGGTCCATCCAAACAGGCTTACGTTTTCACTACTGCTGAACAGTTCAAATCCTACAGAAATTGAAAACCTGTCCATGTATATTTTCTACTCATTTGTACATAGAAAGCGTATTGATCCTTGAACGTGTATAAAGCAGTGTATATAGTGTACTATAGGCCTGAGGCCGTTTCAGTACCAGAATAAATATTAAAAGGATTATCGACGTACCTAGTCGAAATTGCAGTGGTGAACACATTTTAAATCATCCATGTTTTTGGTGAAAAGTGAACTTTTTCACGTTTAGTTTGATAAGTATGTGTCATCGTGAGCTTATATCAATTAACTATGATAGCAAGACAATTAATATTTCTTATAAATGGGTCTGTTTCGAAGTTTACCATCACTATCATCATGGCGAATGCACAACTCAAGTACAATCTTAACACTTGTAGAGGTGGCAAATGTCTCTCTGTTGGAATTCATATGCATCGTATTAGTAAGCGAAAAGCAAATGATGTTGATTATTGGAGCCCACCCGAATATTTTCGAACTGATTCAATTCCTGATGAAGGAACATACGACAACAGAAATGCATTTGGTTCGATACACCGCTGGACAACGCCTCCCTTTTAAAAAGAAGATGTATCAAGATCTTCATCGATTATGCTGAAAGGGCATGTCTTTCATATGTGAAGATGCGTCACAACAATAAATGTGTTATTGTTTGTCAGAAAAAAGGCACAATCATGTTACATTTAATAAAATATCTAAATGAACTAGTTGTTTTGTTGTCGACATCGCCTGTTCATGCATGGAAAGGACTTGCCCATTGTTTATGTTAATTGAAAAGGCGACAGCATTCACGGGAAGGCGAAAACGAAATTCGCTCAATGTTTATACATGCTTTAAAAAAGTCGCCTTAACGAGAATGAACCGTTTTAAATAGGTCACCTGTCCAAAGAAAAACAAAATGGTCATCTCTTTCTGCTAATACCTTCCTATACAACACCCATTCTGTAAATCATTTCTATGGAACAATTCCCTTTCTCTTGGCAAGATGTTACTTCCACTTTCCTATTTCACTCTGCACTTAGCTGAAATACATCTTTTGAATGGTGTAGCGACTATTGGAAATTGTAATCAATCAGTAATCTTTAAATTTTTAAGGTCTAATGCAAATATGGAATATTTGTTCTAGTTTTATACTTTTATGGACACGATGCATTACGTTGCAAACACAATGAAATGACCACTAAATGCTTCATTTACTATACGATTTTGGACCCGTGAAGATCCGGGTTAGAATTCACCGTCAGCAACCCGTGCTTGTCGTAAAAGGCGACTAAAGTATTCGGGTGGTAAGACTCACTGACTTGGCTGACACGTCACCGTATCCCAGTTGTATACATCGATGCTCATGCGTTTGTTCACTGGATTGCCTGCTGCAATTCAATTATGACCAGACCGACGCCATATAGCTGGAACATTGTTGAGTGCGGCACAGCCAAACCAAACTATACGATTTCATCAATGGATATGAAAAAAAAAGAGCTCATAATTACTAAAAAAAAAAGTTTCCTTATGGGTCATTTATACGCATTTTGCGATGTAGACACAGGAGCTTTAAAGAACTATACATAACTGAAACTGTATTCCATACAAATGAAACATCGTGCCTTGCTATACTTACAGTGAGTTTCATTGTGTGCACGCAGTGCGTGTTGGGCGCCTCGGACTGCGACAGGGTGTCCCACCAGGAGGTATGTATAGGTACGTTGTGCATGTTATGATTGATCTTAACTAAATCCGCCCACTAATCATTATGCAACTCTGCAGTGATTGGGGGAAAACATATCTAACTTTTAAATACATCCTGGTTGCAATACAGAGAAAGTGTGAAAAAAAAAAATAACGACAACCTTGCGTAACTCTATCACTTGAACATTTGTTTCACATTCGCTCTCACAAATACGATCAGGAAGAATATTTTAGATTTATTGCTGACATTATTTTGTTGTTGTTGTTTACATTGGCATATATTAACGAATTAAATTCGTATGGTATTTGAATCCCTAGACAACTGTTTAGACGATTGCATCAAAATTAATATGACTGGCGCTGACAAATGCCAAAGTATTTTGTGTCATATGATATTTAGTTTTGCTACTGACTAACATAATCTCTGTATATAAGAAAGTTTCACTCACTAACTTTCTCACTGTACATAAGAGAATATTTACTGAAAGCAGTTATTGATTCCGTATTGAGTATTGGTTTGATTTGGTTGGTATAATGTTTAATGCCGAACTCAGCAATATTCCAGCTAGATGGTGACAGTCTGTAAATAATCGAATCTGGACCAGACAATCAAGTGATCAACAACATATGCATCGATCTGCCCAATCGGGATACGAAGACAACGAGCCTGACCACTTCATCCAGTTAGTCGCCTTTTACGACAAGCATGGGTTGATGAAGACCAATTCTACCCCGAATCTTCACGGAAGGTATTGGTCCACCAACACTGTTGTACATGGTCTGTAAGCACCATTCTTTGTTTGTGTGTTTTTTTCCAAAGTAGAAAACAATAACACATAAATTGTTTCATGTTTTTCTCCCTGTATAAATGATTTGTTTTACAAACGAGATATTGCACCCTCTGTTTCCAATACAATCTATCACAACCCAAAAATGTATATACCTTTCAAAAGGAACGTTAGAAAAGAATACTGTGAAAAAGGGACAGAAAATATTCATGACACCTTGTAAACATTGTAATGTACCAGTTAGTAATTTCTTTGCTTTAGATGCGTCATTCCTACTTCCTAGAATATGTGATCTGTAGACCTTCACCTTGAAAATCTCGTTTGGTTGTATGAAAGTTTCCTTCCCTTCTGAATGCTGCTATCTTAGGTTCCATGAAATATCTTTCTTACGTTTCCACTTAACATTATGTAGTTAAATGGGGCTTGTAATTATTCACTGTACTTGAAACCAATATCATCTACAAATACAAATGAGATGACATAGGTCTGTTATAAGGTTAAAAATGCATCTGTTATACAAGAAATGTATCACAAACCCATTATTGAGAATCGCGGTTATTTCGTGAGAGAAGTGATGCTATAACTGCTTGGAAATACATCATGGGATATAAAACACAATAACTGTCAGTAACAGATAGCTTGTCCTACCCTGTCTAGTCCGAGTCACCTTGTAATGAAGACAGGGATAGAATAAACCTATGTGAGCATAAAACTTGGTGTTGACTTATTCCTGGTATGCAAGAGTGACAGCACCTGAATGAAATGTGGTTATTGAGGAGTTACAGTCACCTGACCTCTCACTCCTAGACTTAACATTGCCCATGGACCAAGCGAGTGTGTAACTTGAGCTTACATCACTCCAGTACTATGTGGAACGGCCCGACTTAATAAGTAACTGGTAGTAGGGTTTACTAACGCCCAAACCCCATTTGGGACATGGTGGAGTTTGCGGGTTTTCCTTGAACAAAATGTTTGAGACGATGCCCATCATATTTTGCTGATGGTAGTTCCTACCGTTTCTTTCACTCGCGTTGACGTTTGACGTTTTAGGTTCCCTTTTCGCAGCCAGGATATGTTATCTGTAGTTTTCCCTCGAGCTATTTGGACTTGTAATACCTCGTACAGACGATTCTGATGCATCTACGTCATATGACAGTCCAGTCTTTCGTCCCATCACTTCTAACAGTTTTACTAATCCGGCCCGCCTTGGCATAACAGTACCACAGTTTCAGTCCTCTACCCCCCCGGTCCCCCTACATCTGCTCCCCGGGACCCCCCTTCATCTGCTCCCCAGGACCCCCCTTCATCTGTTTCTCAGAAGGATTTAGACTTATCATTTTCTTCTTTAGATTAGTCATCAGCTGTCAATAATTCCAATTCTGATCCCTGTCTTCAATATGGGCGATTTCACTTTAATGCCAGAACATTTCACAGGAAAGATAGTTCTCATACTGCTGAATGGCTTGATCGTTTCCTTCACTTTACTAACTAAATGGACTGATACACAGAAAAATCAAGTTTTTTTCCGCTCTTTTTTGAAACATTCAGCATCTCTGTGGTATGGAGGTTTGTTACAGTCAGTAGAGAACGATTTCTTTCTGTTTGACGAAGTGGAAAAATTGTTCAAGGACAAATACGTCCACCCGACTGATCGGTGGGCCCTGTTAGAAACCTTTCTGACTCGGAAATTATCCCCAAAGGAAACTATAGAAACTTACTTGGCGGAATTGACCGAGACAGCAAGTCTGTTAGCTAAGACTGACATTTACCTAATGGACGCGGTTGTTGGGGGCCTGGATGCTTAACGAGGCAGTCTCATTTGCGCGACTGGCTAGATTGGTCATCCCTCAGTCTGAAGACAGTACAGACGTCATGCGTGCAATCGATACTCCGAGAGGACAGATTGCTGAACTTTCAGCACAACATGCTCCGGTATCGTCAGAGATCAATACTTATGAGTCCCGAGAGAATCAACGTCCCCAGTTCCCCAGGTATGCAACTCGACCGTGGCAGCCCACCCATCAATGGACGGATAAGAATCATGGACACAACATGACCCGTGGAAGGCAATGTTACAGATGCGGTGGTGGTATGAGTTTTCTCATTCTGATAGGTGTCGCAATGTTCAGTGCCATATATATTTTTGTCAAAAGATTGGACATTTTCAAAGAGTATGCAGGGCTTGGTATTAGTCAGGTGCCCCAACTGGCAGAAAAGCAATTAGTCAAGACTACGCAGGAAGTTTCCCCACTGTGCCGAACAAACTTTTGACCATACTTATTTGAAGTCACAAATTTGTAATTCTCCTTGTTATAAGCAGCCTAAATCTCAAGTTTGGCAGACTACGTCTAAAGGTGACAATAGGTTTAGAATTCATGTTGTATTGGGAGAAAAGTTACTTTTATCAAGCGTGGATTCGGGCGCTGGTTCTAGTGTTTTAAGCCTGGACATGTTCAATGATTCAGGCCTATGGAACGAAATCCCTATTCAAAAGTCAGATGTGCCATCTATTCAAGGGATAGGTCAAAACATAATGCCAGTACAAGGACAAGTTGTACTTCACTTCACAGTAGGTGATTTTCAAACAGAACAATGTTTTCAAATTGTTGCAAATTTTGAGTCTGCTATGATTTTAGGCTTAGATTTCTTGATACATTAAGAGGCTGTCGTGAATTTTCAATCTTATACTTTGGCTAACCAAAATGGTTCAACAGTTGTTCCAATGAGGGCAAATGGTACCATGGTACCACCTGTCGCTTGTAAACAATCAGTCCCCACAGTCACAGTTCAATATCGTTGTATATTGCTATATGTCAAATTACCAACTACAGGATGAGTTACTTCCCTTTGCCTACGGCACCGATGGAGTATTCCACTTGTGTGAGTTAATAGCTGTCTATCATGAGTCGCAATTAAAAACACGTGTGTTTAATCGGCCTGTTTGTCTTTCATGAAGAACCCAAAACATTACAAATATCAACCGGGAAAACATGTGCATGCCATAGATGCTCTGTCATGCTTTCCGTGCGCAGCAAATTCAGATAATGATCACCCCTACTCAGATAACTACAAGATATCGATTCCAATTGCAACAAATATATCATCAGATTTGTATGATGATAGCTCACTTGATGTATGATGTAAGCTCTGTCCCCACAGGAGATTACTCCAAAACACACAGGCAATATAACAATTCCAATCAATTGCAAACGACGGCGTTATGACAAGCGAACAGGACTAAACGTTCCTGGCCATGCTAGACGTCTTAGACGGTTTGTCAACCACACACACAGGCCAACTAACCCATTTCCAGTTGTCATTCAGTCCCCTCACATTCATAAACTACTCAAATCTAATAAAGATACAGATATGATAAGCCCCACTGCTCAACCCCTAAACACGAACAGGCATAACATGCCACCTTGGATTTACAGGACTACTTTGTATAGCACATGGAATTCGAGTGCTTAGAATACTCAGTAGAAACAAATACTACAGGATTCATTAGGAGACCTGCACTGCACATGAGTTTACAGATGAACGTAAATACAAATTCCCTGAACGAGATCTATGAGTACATGATACTGAAGTCGTTTAATAAAAAACGAAAATGTCTGCTTAGAATTTTCAACAAAATATTTGAAATATTGTTTCAGACGATGTTTTTTATTTGTTTCCTTTTTACTTATAACACTGCAGATATGATATTGGGGACTGATCACCCAAATATTGATTCTGGCATGTGTTTTATTTCAGGGCTTTAACTATATATATGATGCTATACGCATGGTGCTAGCCCATGCTATAGATCATTCTTTACGATGTTACATGATTCAGTTGTTACAAGAAAACAGAAGCGTGCATACATGTTGATATGTGTATTTCTTATTGTCAAATGTCTTGTTGTGCATATTCAGAATACATCGACTATATACAGTCACGTACTGGTTGATATTGATGCTTACAGTCAAATACACGGATTATACCCTGCGAAGGTTTGGGTCACGTTGCATACTACTACTTGATGAATACATTTCCGGGTTACTGACCACAAATGTGTAGGTCAGGTTGCATATATTCCTCTTACTACTACGGGAAGGTTACAGGTCGCGCTGTCCATATGAGACGTTGTACATATTCGCGGACTATTACAAAGCGTTTCGAGAAAAAGAAATGAACTACGATCTACTGAGATCTGACGATATCGCATCACATGGGCATAAGATATGCTTACAAATACCGTGATGTTCAATGAAATACGAAGATGAACAATGAATTACGGTTACACGACTCGAAAGGAAGTCAAGAGAATTCAGTGTTCAATGATTATACTGTACGGATACAAATATACGTTCCATGATGAGAAATGTTTTGGTTAAACATGTTGATGCAGTATTTACTACTACTATTGATGTCTGTTGCTTATTCGCACAGTTACTTGTGTGAGATTACCATTACCTACTTGTGACAATTGGTAGCATAATTTTCAGATGCAGTCAGTTTCTATTTACAAGAAAAGACTTGAGATAAATTAATTCTCATCATTGCTCGGTTTCAGAATGCATGGAAACCTTTCGTACAAAATGTTGATGAGATATATTTTACTTAATTTCAAGTATTATGTTCATAATTCCATTCTTTGAATTTTAGCATTCATTAGTCTCCTTCGACCAGTATGCCGCTTGCTAGCATTCAAAATTATAATTATTCTGTGTATACATTTTCGACATTTTTCAAAGCAAATGGGTGCATGTATTCCAGTACAAAATGACAGATTTGTAAACATAAAATGCGCGATAGGGCAAATTACCAAAACCTTTGGTACGTCCTCATTACAATTATTATTCAATCGATGTGCTAGATGGATGCATAAAGCAGGCGGAACAAACGTTCCCCCGTACGGAACAGTGGTAGCTCATGACACTGGAATATTAATTCCGCACATTGAAGTTTTTCATAAGGTTTCTCGTACAAAACGAGGAATTCTTTCATGTATTGGATCAATTAGTACTGGAGTCAAATATGTAGAACGACTGGCGCATTATGGGAAACAATTATCTTTGTATGTAACTGATATTTTCCTTGTTTTCCAAGTTCAAGTTCGTCAAATGTCGGCTGTTTTGAATTTACCTGATTATTTGGATGTTTCAGAAGCGAAATATCATTATATTGAATTTTCTACTTTAAACAAAAAAATTAAGACGCACCGGGAATTAAATCCTTGTGATGTTATATTTACATTTAATAGCCTTCGATCGATGGCTTTCGAAATCGAACCAGGCCTTATTCTTTTCAGTGGTATAGAAACCAAAACTTTCACAACTTATCTTCGAAACTTATGCTTTTAAAATTCAACATTTATGACTTGATAATAATGTGACAAGAAATTTGATTTACACGTCATTTCCCAGCGTACGAAAGAGCGTATGATAATTTATAATTGATGGGAGCTGGAAACATTCCCTTCCACCAACCCTGTTTGTAGTGAGATTATGGTCTCACAATGCTATCTTTTTCCCTGAGACTTGACATTATCAGTTAGAAATCCTCTAACCAATTTTCATATTCAAAGTTAATGTTATTCTTACTACTTACATTTTGATTTTTCCTCTCGGCAAATTCCCACACATCACAGCCTACATAATGTCTGTGAAGATTAATATCAGTGGGTTAAAAGCTTTTCTTCATACTAGACGAAGTAATTTATAGTCCTCCAACATTGTGGAGCACCTTTCTCATTACCTCTGACATAATCCATATCGCAGTCAGCACCCTGTCCATTAAAGTAAAGCTACTTTAACCTCTCAGTCTTTGCCATCTGGCATGTTTAGACAAAGGCCACAATTTCTTTGTCCATGTTGATATTTCTCTACGTCATATTTCCTACTGTGACCAAGTGCAACAATTAATTAGCACTGGTCAGTAGGGTACATTGAGATTTGAGACAACAACATACAGTGGTGTAAGATTTCATAGGTGATGGTATCCGATAAATACTCCATGTTCGTAAGTTACATTAATATTTCGTGTTCTGTTTTCATATGAAATGCGTACGTAAGCCCCTACACTTTCAAAGTAAAATATAAATTATCACATTTTAAACGTAGTATTTTTGTTATTTTAACTGTTGGCTAAATTTTCCTACAATCGCCAGCGGCTGAAGGGATGGTGTAAATCCAGCTAGGATCAATGCAGGTAGCAAAAGTACTGTAAGTCCCCATGGTCCTTAGTATGGTGATCTACCTTCAGTTGTTGGCGATCTCTAGCCCATTTTTACATTGTATTGTCCAAAAATAGTTTTGTACTTTTAAAGATATATGTTAGCTAGTGTTAACTCATTTTGTGATACTCTAGTGGTTATACTGTGAGGGTTTTAACTATTATCTGTATGTATTATAAATTTAGAACTAGTTTTAGTCACGATATGGCTGAAATATTGCCGATGTGACTTTAAAATTTAACTCACTCACTCACTCACTCACTCACTCACTCATATGAAATGCCATTATGTTTTTATCTCTAATATCACGAACGAGTCAGCAGAGGAATATTCAGTCATATATTAATACTCATTCTTGCAACAACATTGTAATAGATACACATTGTGTTAGGGATACTAATTGTATTCGGACTATGTATCTCACATATTATGGATAGCCGGCAGTTACTAACATTACATTATTCTCCAGTTTCGTGTCTTCCATATTACTTGCTAGGACTGAGTTTCATCCATGTTTCAATGCTTTCCTCAATCCCTCACACGTTTATCTATGATGCCGTTGTCGTATTTTACACCACAAAGCTTCACTGAA